AAGTACAGCATAGGGAATATAGTCAATAATATTGTAATAACTATGTATGGTGCCAAGTGGGTACTATACTAGTCAGGGGGTCACTTTGCAAATTATATAAATGTCTAACTGCTATGCTGTACACCTGAAACTAATACCAAATAATATTGAATGTCAACTGTTAATTGAAAAATGTTTGAAAAGAAAAAAAAAAAGAGATTTTCTAATCTGTGCTTTAAGGTTCTTCCTTAAATATTTTCTAACAGACTATCCGAAGAAAGGGAATCAATGCTTAACATCACATTTCTCCAAAATACATCCTCCACCTCTGCTCCAGGTATGCTATCTTTCAGAAAAATTAAATTTAAATCTAAACATTGTACCTTATCTTTTTCTATGAATTAAAGGCAGAAATGATTAAACCCGAATTTTTCTGTAGTATCAGTATAATCAGTAATTTATTTATATAAGTGAAAAAAGTAAATGGATTTTAAAAGCAATTTAATTTAAAATCGATTCTAAATTTACTAAAATTTATTCTAAGGGTTTCTTTTTATGAAAACATTTTAAGTTATATTTGAACCTTGGTGGACATTTTTGTTTCAATTTCATGAAGATTGTTTAAGAATTCAAATGTCATTGAACTGAAATGTAAAGGGCAAAGGAAAAAAACAGAACCAAGTGAAAAATCAAAAGTTTTGCTCTTGGCAGGAAAGTGACATTTTAGACTAATCACGTGATACTTTTTTCTCTCTTTCTGGATATGAAGAAAAGATTATGTCACTAGAACTGGCATCTTTTTCCAGCAAGTAGTCTTGTCTTGGTGTTTAAACTTACAGCCATGGATGGCAAGAAAGGATCTTGCCTCCATATTCCACAGGAAATATACATGGACGATACTAAAAGAGGTTTTTTTAGGGGCGTGGCATGTGACCCAAGGCAGACCACTCAGACTCTTTTTCTTGGATGTGTGACTCCTGAGTGGAGACACTCAAAGGAAGTAACTAGAGCTGAGTCAACCAATGGGAGGGCTCTAAGGAGTAGTCCAGGTGATGCCACTTCTCAGGTCCAGGTCTGTCACAGCATGGTTCTTAGGAGGCTGGGTATCAACCTTGCTTTTGTAAGCCAGCCAGTGTTGTTTTCAGCTCTTGCCTAAGTTGGTCAGAGTTAGTGTCTGTTGCTTATAACCAAGGAACCCTGACTAATACAAGATCTAATGATTTTACATACAAAGGAGAAAATTAAAAATTAAGGGTAATAGTGAATGATGAGTTTATAAAGCCTAAGTTATTAGGTTTTATAGTACTCTGAGGTTATATTACAATTTTATATTTATATTAACATGAGATTAAGAATTTCTTAAGGCAAACCTTTGGCCTCCAAACACTTTAATCACACATCTCAAGCAATAAGAAACTTTTGAGAAAGCATACTGTACATAGATATAGATGTAGAGCAGTCTCAAAATATTTACTAGTGTGTTAATATATACATTATGCAACATAAATGAAGATAATTTTAAAGGATGAGATTAAAATAATAACTACAATAGAGGTACGAATATTTCTTGGTACTTCGATGATGTTTTACAAACACCCTTATATTGATTCATACCCTCTTCAAAGACTGCTAGTCTAAGTAGTGCTGGGTAATGGATCGCAATGCCTTGAAGTCTCATATATCTTTTAGTGTCTGTTGGGATCCTGCAGAAAGAATGTGTTATACTTGGTTCCTTTAAACTGTATGGAAACAGAAAAATTCAGCTCAGAATGTGAAGAAGGAAAAACAGTAACCAAATAAGTAAAAAAGGAAAAAGGCAACTAGGTAGTATAAGAAACCCACGAGTCTGAGAATACTAAATGATTAATTATTAAAAACAGGACACACGCCCAACTATGAAAGTGAGAGGGGAAGCCATTTACCGAATCTCGCTCATGTTTGTTGACTGTTTCTGCAATGACTGTTAAACCTGAAGATCATTTTACCAACACAATCAAACAGTTTCAGAGCTAGAAGGCAACTTAATGGTCATGAAGTCTAACGTGTTCATTTTCAGGTTAGTAAACTTCAGCTAGAGAGAAGAATGAGTTTCCTGAGGACAAATGGCATTTTTACTTAGTATAAATTCTCACAAGAAAAGTAGCTAAGGAAGTAGATAAATACAAAATTCTATTAAAAATGATTGACACAAATGACTTTAAAAGGCAG